TTTTCCTTGCAAAGGTGATCTGTCGGCGAAATACAAGCCAAAAGTTGTTGATCTTGCAACAAATAGGGCGTTGGTCACTGGGGTCACGCGGAGATCATGGACAAATCTAAAGACTTGTAGCAACTCTGCCCGAGCTGCTGCGTGGCTTTTCTGCCCGACCTCGCCGCCGGATGCGATGGGTGGGGTTTCGCGTCGTTGCCAGTCCCATCATGGGCCGAAAAGAAAAGAAGAAGCCGCTGGCATGTGCGAGCGGTACGTAGAAATGATCAGCTACCGCTTAGATCTAGAGTGCCCACAGTCGTGACCCTGGCTGCAAACGTGTTCTAGACACTGTGGACCTGGTGGTCCCTGAAGTTGAGTAGTGTAGCGCGGCTCCAGGTGCCAACGACGAATCACACGTCTTGGAAATGCGCTTAGCGTACTGGAGCAGATTCCGAGATCAGGTGCTAGTTCGTGACGTTGTCCAAGGATACCCGATCCCTGCATTGTGCACCGCAGCATCCGATTGCGGGAGAGCTGGTTAGCGGTCCATCCGGTTGATCGGGTGAGAACACTGGGCCTGAGGCTGAAAGTCCTCGAACCTGGGACCGCAAGGCTTAGTCTGCAACTTACTTTTACTAGCTTACCATGTCTTTGTTGCCGACTGGCAGATGTTGTTGCAAAGCCAAAAGATGTCGGAAGACCTGGCATCGGCACGGCAGGTCACATTCCCACAACTACATCGACATCTGATACCTTCCTCGTCCTCATCTTGGTTGTCAGTCTGTACCAACAAAGTCCTGGGTACTGATCTCTGTAGCGAACCAAGAATGTCTTGGCGTGTTGCATGCATCTCAAAAACTCAACTGCTCCAAGTCAGATTTTCACAAATCACATTATATGTAGTCATACAGTATCCAAGACAGATGCAGCCCACTCTCCACCTGCTGTCATGTTTGTTTGCTATGCCAGACCTAGCGCCACCAGCTCCGTACGCTGCTAAGTTTATCCGTCCCTATGATACAAACGAGAGAAAGGAGACCATGGTAGTGCCATGGGAAGAAGACAGGATGAGTTTACTCCTCCTTTTGCGTCGCCGACTGGGCTTCGCTGGCTGGCTGAGCCTCCTCCTGATGCTGCTCAACGCTCTTTTCCTTTTGTTGGTCCTCGGCGACCTCGACAGTTGGTGGAGCCTCGCTGGCTTCAGGAGCGTTGGCTTGTTCCTGCGTCTCAGGATTACGGCCCTCGGCGTCAGGATGGGGAGGGGCAACGCCATTTTCCTCAGCATCGCCATGTGAGTCCACGAGGCCCTCATAGATCTCGTGACCTTCACCATCGATAATACGGGTCCGGGTCTCGTAGCGGGTCTTGAAGCTGACTTTGCCGGCAAGTGCTGATACCTCATCATCGTCGAGGATACGGCCGTTCTCGTCGCGGTACTCAATACGCTCTTCTTTCGATACAACCGGGAGGTCCTTGGGAGGCTCCTGAGGTGGCTGGGAAACTACCGCTTGTTCAGACATCACATTCTCCTGCTTCGGCTCCTTTGCTTCCTGGATTGGTTGCTGATTTTGCTGCTGATTTTGCTGCTCCTTGGGTTGCTCTTGCTGAACTTGGGGAACGACTTCTGGTGCGGCTTGGACTGGAGGCGCAGGAGGTGCTGAAGAAGGTACAGCGACAGATGCTACCGGCTCGGAGTGCATGGTGTTGTATGCTTCATACTGAAATCAGTTAGTAGGTGTCGGCCGTTCACCATGTGAAGAGTACTTACAGAAGTGAGGAAGTTGTTGCAATCCCAGTCCCAAGAGTCGAAGAGCTTGACACTGTTGCAAGCATCCTTGGTCCATGCGTTGCCGTATGCTAATGGAGAGTATACGGTGAAGACCGTGATGGCGATAGCCAGGAAACCAACAGCTGCTGCTTGACCGATAGCAGGGTACTGCCTCAGGCCAAAGACGCTGAAGCGGTAGCTTACAAAGTCGAAGATCTGGCAAAGAGCGAGAATGGCAAAGTAAAGAGCGGGTAGGTAGTGGTGCAAGAACAGTTGACGCGCCATCAGGTAGAATGGGAAGTAATGGAAGGCCCATCCGAGAATACTCATGCCGACCTCGTAGTCGAAACGCTTGAAGGTGACATTGCTGTAGTCGCGGTAGCCGCGCTGCCAGCGAAGGATTGCGATACCCTTGATAGCAATGTAGAGAGCAATGAGCGCGCTAGAGCTCCACCAAATCACTGGGTTACCCAAAAGGTAGATCTGACGGTTGTGCTTGCCCCAGAAGTTGATACCGCGGCGTAGGATTGGCCAAGATGGAGGGCGAGAATCCCAGGCATGCGACTCAGTAAGGCCAGCGTTGGTCTTCCACATGACCTTCTGCAATTCCCAGAACTTGCCGAAAAACCCGGGGTTACGGTAGTTGACTTTCTCGACCTCACCATCCACCATCAACGGATGGACATTGCCCTCGATGTACCAGATGCTGTTGGGCAAGGTACCTTGCCTAGCGCAGGTAACCTCTTGCTGCTCAAAGCCCCAGTCGGGAAGCTTGACTTTGTGCGAGAATAGCGCGCAGCCAGTCATGACGTGGACAAGCCTAAACTTCGTCTGAATAGTTCGGACGCGCTTCTTAGCCACGGCTCCGTCAGACTTGCTCTTAACAATCTCAATACGGAAGAGGTCGTTCGCGTCGCCCTCAAAGCCTTCGTAGCCGTACGCAGAAACTTCGTTTTGCCAGTCAGCCTCAGTAACAGGCGCGCGGACATCGTGGGAGTGAAGGCGGCGATCGGTAGTGATATGGTAAAGACGAATGACACCACCATCCTCGATGTAATCTGGGCCGACGTTGTCCCATGCCTTTGGGCTTGTGAGGTTTGGTCCATTGTAGTCTTCAGGCATGATCGGCAGAGTCTGGTTCTCTAGAATCCAGATATTGTTCTCGTCCTTGTGGGGATAGAGCGTGATTTGTTGCTGCTTGCTACCGGTTGGGTACATGTGACTGTGTGAATGAAGGTATCCACCCTGAGTGTTCCAGTGACGCAGAGAGACACGGCTTCCATAGGCGACGTCAGCAGGAACAGCTTGCATGCCCTTGGAGTTCAGTGTCGCTTGGAATTCCGAGGACATGAAGCCGTCACCTTCGCCAGGGTTGACCAGGCAGAGGAAATGGATTCCGAACATGGCCATGTAGAACGAGACAGGAATGACAATCAAGCAGAACATGCGGGCGAAGAAGTGCTTGAACCATAATCGTGGTGTGACGTTCTTGGTGTCCCCAAGAAGGACCCAGAGTTGCACAAGCGTCAAGCTGCCGACCCAGGCAATAGTAAATAGGCCAACCCACTTGACACTGACTGTCGCGCCGAGTCCAACACCGGAAGTGACCAACCAGAACCACCAGGATGGCTGGAAGGCCTTTGCGGGTCCTTGTTCGTGCTGGTTCATGAAGCTTGTCCAGGCGAGTGCGGTAAGGGCTGTGAAGATGACGAGCGGCGAGTCGAGGAGGATAAGGCGGGACTGGGTCACGAGTGCGTTGTCTAGCAATGGTTAGTATATATGGTGATAGATGGATGTGTGCGTCCTACCGAAGATGACGAGACCAGCACCCAGGGCTGCGGTGGTAGTACGGCAGCCAGCAGCCTTCAGAGTAAGGAACATGGTCGGAATCGTCAGAATACCGAGGATGGCGGGCAACATGCGCATAGTGACATATGGAACCTTGGGCTCCAGGTAATCCTTGCCAATATCCTTGAAGTCGAAGTTTCCGTCAAATCCACCCAACCATCCTGCCAATGTGATGAGGAGTTTCGCAAGCGGAGGGTGGACATCCATGAAGAACCTGCCCTTGATGTATTTTGACGCAAACCCACCGAAGCTGAGATGTAAGTCAGCGAACAAATTCTTTAGATTCTTGCTTAGACGATGCGGCTTACTGGACTTCGTCGAAGACAACGCTGGTCGGCTGTTGAATGCGGAAGAGGCGTACGACAGCAGCCACGCCAGTCAACATGGCCAACAACGACCAGTCCGATCCGGGGAGGTTGAAGATATCATGGTCTTGCACTCCCTCGGAGGTGTAGCCTTGGACAATCTGCTGCTGCTGCTGATGCTGCGTCTTTTGCTGCCTTCGGCCGTTGGGTGCTGGCGACCGCGACTTGGAACGCGACTTGGATCTCTTCGATTGGGGCTTCTCGCCTAGGTAGGCATTGGATGCCGATAGGCTCGCCATGACGGCGGGAGGTGACGATGTGTCGTGGCTCGATCAGCTGGTAGACGGCGTTGTACCAAAAGTTGGGAACGCTGCGGAGTTGCAACTATAGTCTGGGTGGAAGGCGCTTGGGGCCAATGTCGTAACAAAAAGAATTAAAGAGAGTTGAAAAAGAGTCCCATCAAGATGAGAGGAGAGAAGAGGTGGGAGTCTCAATGGTAGGCGCAACAGTTCAAGCTAGGGGGAGGGTCCCGCGAGGAGTAGTGGTTGCGTTGCGTACCAATTAACCCTAGTTGCAAGCTGTTCCTTACGACGGGCCTTACCGAACTGGGAGGGCTGAAAATAGGTCAAGGCCCGTATAGAACAATCACTCCACGCAATGTTCTGTCCAAGTTGAAGAGTCCAGGCAATCTTTCCGGCAATAGTGGTCTGACGACTTGACAGCGTTCGCAAGCCGAGGCGCCTTGGGTATTGCGCCGAGTGCTTCACCTTGACATGTGTGGCTGGTGCGTGTGGCTCAACTGTGGCTGAAAAATGTCGGCCCGGAACATCTTTCTCGCAGCAGCGGGCCTGTTGTACTATGGGAACTTTGCGACAACTCCAAGCCCAGTCGCCGCTACCCCATCGTCCGCAACCGCCCCACGCGATCTACGCGCAAGCCAGTAACAGCAGGTAGTCGCGATTGAGATCTTGCTCCCGGCGCCTAGAAAGAACCCCTTGTTCCTGCCCTGGCGATCGGTTTACCTATCTTTTGCGACTCGTAAACAGGACTACCGATACCATCCCTCGAACCCGTAACGAACATCATCACAACGCGCCATGGCCAACTCCAACGGTGAAGGCGCTCCTGCAGGACCGCCAGAGCTCGACGTCAAGCCACCAGAGAACCTGGTTATCCCCCCGCCCAACGTGCGCGAAACGATCGCAAAGACGGCTGACTTCGTCGCCCGCCGAGGCGAATCACATTTCAATGGACTGAAGCAGCGCGTCACGTCTGATCCTTCAGCTGCGAACAACCGTAACTTTGTATTCGTTTTGGAGGAGGACCCCTACAATGCCTACTTCCTGTGGTATCTTCAGCAACTCAAGGAGGGCCATGGGCGATCAGCTGGAAGTGCTAAGCAAGTGGTTGACAACAAACCCAAGGGTCCTCCAGAACCGCCCAAGTTCCGCTTTTCTGCGCGTATGCCCAACATCAGCGCAAAGGATTTGGAGGTGTTGAAGCTCACTGCTCTGTACACGGCGCGCGTGGGTGAGAACTGGTTGAAGGACTTGCGCAACCGTGAGTCTGGCAACTTTCAGTTTGATTTTCTCCGACCAAATCACAGCTTCTTCCAGTTCTTCCGATCGCTCGTTGAACAGTACAAGATCCTGCTTGAGGAAGAAGCCACAGTCGAGGCACGCATCGAGGAGTTACAGCAAAACATCAAGAACCGATTCCATGTGTTAGATCGCGCCAAGGGACGCGCCGAGTACGTCAAATATGTGACTGCACAGAAAGAGAAAGAGGAGAAGAAGGTGGAAGCCGAGAAGCAAGAGTATGCGACGGTCGACTGGCACGACTTTACAGTCATCGCGACTGTGCTCTTTGATGAAGCTGACGATGCAGCGGATCTGCCTCCTCCCGCACAGCTGAATGATCTGCAGTCGCAGTCGCTCGAACAGAAGGCTGCGGTCTCACTATCAACAAGGCGTCTCGAAGAAGCCATGCCCGACGAGATGACTTACTACAACGTCTCACAGCAGCAGGTCCCACCGCCTCAGATGCCGCCAAACTACGCCCCTGCCGCACCACCTGTGCAGCCACCCTATGGCGTACCGTCCTACGCGCCTCCCCCTATGCCCGACTACCGGACGCCGGCACAGATATCACGCGAGGAAGAGCAAGCTCGGCAGGCAAGGGAGCGTCAAGCGGAGAACGAGCAGCGCGCACGCGCTCAGGCTGCTGCCAGAGGAGCGCCTGGTCGCATTGTCACAGACTACGTTCCCCGCGCTGCCGCAAAGAAGGCAAACGTTCCGATGGCCGTATGCCCTAACTGCAAGCAGCAAATCCCCTCAAACGAGATGGACGAGCACATTCGCAGTAAGTTTTCCCCTTTTTCTATTTTTCCAAGAGCCTTTACTAACGCTGTATGCTAGTCGAATTGCTTGATCCACGCTGGAAGGAACAGCGCGATAAGGCGGAAGCCCGGTACTCTACCACGATTAATACCGCCGACGTTGCAAACAACCTTAAACGTTTCGCTAGTCAGCGCGAAGATATCTACGATGGTGCTACGGGATTACCCATATCTGCAGAGGAAGAAGCTCGGAGGAAGAAAGCTGCACTGTCGTACGACGGCCAGCCTGATCCTGCCAAGGACGCTGCCCGTCTTTCGCAAATGCAAAGCATGAATGTCCAGGAGCAGCTTCGCAGGATTCAAGAGAAGCATCGCCAATAGGGCGTGGATACGAGTAAGTCTTGATTTTTCTTCCACGTGATTCGTTGTTCAGGACATCAATTGCTCTACTTGCATTGGGTGGCGTTTTTGGCGATGTCACTTGTGTATACCACCGACCAGAAGCCAAAAGAGCTTCATAGGTTCGATAGTTCCGAGTCATTAGCTCGGTTGTAAAACAACAGCTGCAAAGGCTTAATGAAAAGTGTACCTCAATTTCGTGCTCCATCTACAATCCGTTTCCGCAGTGTTTAGCGTGGGGCAAGCTGTGGTAGTCCTGCTCACTGCTCGGACTTTCGAAGCTTCGCTCCGACATGTGCCCCAGACCTATGACCTAACCAGCGACTTTTATTCCCAGGTCGCACAGCCCTCATACACACTTCCGCACATCGTCCGCAATCATGTCATTAGCACAGGCAACAAAAGGCGACATGGCCTATCAAGTGCGCTCGCTCGTACGTACCCCTCCTACATTATTTCGATATATCCGCTGCAGCGACTCATGATGTGTCGCCTCATGGGATTCCCGCAGTACTTCTGCGCTGTCCCTACGTGTACTGTGCAGATGTACTGCGCGCGCTTATGTCGCTTCTCTTGTCGTAAAACATTGACTAATTACTCTCTGCAGTACCGCTCCCTCCTGCGCCAGAGCAGCCAGTTCGCCGCCTACAATTTCCGCGAATACGCCAAACGGAGAACTCGCGATGCGTTCCGGGACAGCAAGAATGTGACAGAAGAGCGAACAATACAAGAGCTGGTACAGAAGGGCTTGAGCGAATTGCAAATGCTGAAGGTAAGATAGATTTCTGCTCGTTCGGTATTGGAGGTGGAGGGTCTGCAGCGCGTGCGGCGGAAAAGGTGGCAAGCAAAACAGATCGCAGCCTATAAACCCATTAGGGGATGCATTTTGTGGGATGCGACAACGACAGATGGGGCGCAGGAATGTAGCATGAAATGCACTGGGATGGACGCTGATTCGGTTCACAGAGGCAAACGGTGATAAGCCAATTCTACCAGATCGATCGATTAGTCGTCGAAGGAGGGAAAGAGGGCAAGCAAAAGGGTGACAGAAATGACATCATCAGAGTGAAGGATCAGGGCTGGGACTGAGTGGTCCGCTCAAAAGTGCGGATACGGATAATGAGACGAAATGATCTTGTAACAATATGGCGTACATTGCATGCGGATGCGGGAACATGCACGGTAGTAGAACAGCTGCGCCTGTCCCGACGACGATGGAAAATCGAGAATGAGTATACTGTACTATATCGTGCCTATCATTCAACTCTATCGAATGGAATGTTCAGATTAAATGTGAAGTTCGCATGACAACAAGCATCGGTACTTCCTGCGCTTGTACAAAAAACATGAGTTGTTAGGAAAACATCACGACTATTGTTGGTGTGAATGTTTCATTGTTTTGTCTTCTATCGTGTGTATATTGTTTGATTTACGGAACTTATAAGTGGCTCGTTCGTATGCGTCATTGCAGAACTGGGATCAACCAAACCACAATGCTAGATCAGATAGAAGTATATCTGAGAGTTGACTGAATTGGATTTGATGTTTTAAAATTGACTGAAATCACTTTGTTGAAAGGCTATGCAGGAGACTGATGATTGCGTCTCAAGTCTCAAGGCAGCGATCGCAGATGCACTCAAAAGGGTCTAGCGGCGCACGGTTGTGCCTGCCATCTGCAAAGCGACGCGCTTCCCCTTCACGCATCGCGACTTCCCGTTGCATTGCGCCGACTCTCATACCCACTTTCACCGACTGATCCAGTCCTTATCGAGGAAACCACACTTCGCCATGGCTCCGGTACGTCACCTCATCTTTCCGTTCGAGCGTGCATCCTCAAGCTGCGTCTGTTACATCGAGTTGCCGCCATTTGCACGCGCGCGACGTAACATCGCTATTGTCATCACGTGCATCGCATCCTGAACATCTCATCTTCTTATCATCGACGCGACATCGTTTTGTGGAGGAAACGTCGCAAAGAGATCGCCCTGTGGTCTAGAGCCTCGCCTGCTTGACGGGTGGTGATGAGTACCTCATTGGTACCTACATTCCACTCATGCAAAGCAGCGGCCATGACCTATTTTTCTTTAATCTGAGCAAGATAGCATATACGCGCGTATGTTTGTCAGACTGGAAGCTAACATCATGTGACTAGTTCCGGAACAGGGACCGATCCAACAGATCAGGGCGTGGTCAAATAGAACATAATGTGTTAGAAGGACTTCCCATCAGTCAATACCGGGAAGCAGAAATTACTATTGAACCAAATTCGGCCGATAACAAACCTTTGGATAAGGATGCTTGGCCTGAACTACCCATGCCTAGAGACTCACACATGTTGCCTGAGCATTCTCAACAGTTACTGCGAGCAGCACGATCTGGGAAGTTATATAAGCCACCCGCACCTCCAGAAGACGACAACGAGATGAAAGATGAAGAAGAAGAGACCAAAGAAATTCGTACCGGATTCACTATCAAGAAGTACGTCAAAGTTGCACGACATCTAGAAGTCCCGGAACCAGAATATCTCGCAAAGAGAAGGAAGGGTCTACCGTCACCCTACGTCAATGGTCAAGTCGCACAACCTGCATTGCGAGAAACCAAAGTAAAGAAGCTCGATGCCGATGGCAATGTGGCTGTTTACAAAGTGCTTGTCCCAGAAGGTCAGGCTGTAGAAGGCGAAGTTCAACCCACAGACGCCGCGATTGAAGTTGCACCAGCTACCGCGGCACCAGGCACCATTGTCGAAGGAGTCGGTGTGGTGAACGCGGAGGGCGTGGTCGTCGCTAACGACATTCTACAACAAACGCCACCTAGGCGAAGGCCACCACCTCCTAAGAAGAAGGTGAAGCGTGGAGGTCCGGGCAGAGGCAAGAAGAAGGTCGTCTTCGCCGAGGGCGGAGCAGAGCAAGGAACGCCAGTATCACTTGCTGGTGGTGACTTGCTGGGTGTACCAGGCGCCAAACAAGAGGATGGATCAGTAGCACCTTCAGATGGAGGAGATACACCAATGGCAGACGCCGGCGGCGAGGAAGAAGAGGCTTCTGGCGAGGAGGGTTCAGAAGACGAGGACCAAGACATGGAACATACCTCTAACCCAGCGACTCCTCAGGCATCTTCTGTGGCTCCTACCAGCGCTCTAGCGAACGAGATATCCAGTTTCACAGAGCCTACTCCAGCAGAAAGCGCCGAGCTAGCTACTGAAGCACCACCGACTTCCAACGAGCCTTCCCAAGATACCGCAACAATCGAAAGGACCACACTCGAACCCGTCCCGGCCGACACGACCGACACGATTATGCAAACGCCGAAGCGTGACCCTTCAAGTTCACCTGATCTACCGCTCTCTGCCGTCTCCCATAGTCGCCAGAACTCTATGAACCAGATCTCGACTTCTGATACCACCACAGAAGCCTTCATTCCTGGAGATGCTCAGAATGAAGTCCTAGCTCCAACCGTGGAAGAGAGCACGGCACCAGCGCCGGTGGTGGCATCTGAGCCTCAGCCCGAACCCGAACCAGAATCTGTTCCTGCACCAGTACCCGAAGCTGAGCCCAAAGCTGAGCCCGAAGCTGAGCCTGAGCCTGTGCAACAAACATCAGTCGCTCCTTCCGCGCCACGTTCCGAGTCAGACCCTATGGGGAGTCTTGAGCGACAGTTGGAGAAAGACAACGAGGATATGAGCGGGTCATAGAATGGCCAAGCCAAATCCTTCCGCTCTCCAAAAGCTTGTTTCGTTTGCTGTACATTGTGTGCAACTGCAGCAGGAAGGCAACCAAAGAACAGAGTCAGGAACTCGTGTGCCCACATGCGAAGAACTGTGGGTGCATATGTTTATGGATTTGAGCATAGCTTTAGTCTTTAGTCAGGCGTTACGCACATCATTGTATTAATATCAACGACCTTATCACTTTTCTGACCCACTTTCCTTGATTCACACGCTGCTCATTTCCTAGTTGCTGGGGGCTCTTTTCCCGCATGTTTCCGTAGTATATTGCTGTTGCCGATGGAGATATGAGCGTTATGGTCAGATACGCTACCCCACATTCTCACGCACGCTCATACGTCATTTTCAACTTTCCCCGTCGGGAACCACATTTATCACACCCTCACTAACTCAGCCTAGGAGACACTAACGCAACAAAGGCAGGTCATCTATCGTGCTATCGGCCTTGTGTTCGAGTGTATATATGAGTGACTGACTTCACAGCAATCCAATCTTACCTTCCCAGAAACCTCGCAAGACTGGATAAGCAGACATCATGCCTTCGATAAGCGAGATCGTAAAGGCAAACCAGCCCGACCTGGCCTCATATGAGGAGCTTTGTAAGTACTCTTTCAATTCCGTCGATACTGGCATTAACAGCGATCCAGACAAATGGTTCCACGCGCACCCCGAGCTCTCTTTCCAAGAAGCCAAAACTGCCGAGGCCATCGTAAAACATCTCGAAACCTTCAAAGCTTTCACGATCCACACTTCTATCGGCGGTCACGGTATTGCTGCCAGCTTCTCCAACGGCCCTGGAAAGACCCTTCTCTTACGTGCTGACATTGACGCGCTACCTGTTAAAGAGAAGACCGGGCTGAACTATGCGAGTACGGCGCGTATGAAGGACTTAGACGATGTTGAGAAACCCATTATGCATGCCTGTGGCCATGACATGCATATTACAGCGTTGCTTGCAGCGGCAGAAACTCTAGTCAAATGTAAAGACGCATGGAGCGGAGAACTGATTCTGGTGTTTCAACCAGCGGAAGAGAGGGCAGGCGGTGCGCAAAACATGGTAGACGACGGGCTCTACCAGAAGGTCAAGGAACCAGACGTCGTTGTCGGCGCGCATGTCATGCCAGAAAGAGCCGGTGTCATAGGAACAAAGCATGGTTTGATCGCCAGCTCTGCAGATCGATTTCAACTCCGCATCGAGGGCCGGCAAGCCCACGCATCCACCCCGCACCGCGGCATCGATCCTATCCTTCAAGCCGCTTCCACAATTATGCGTCTCCAATCCATTGTAGCGCGAGAAGTAGATCCCCTGGACTTCGCCGTTGTAACAGTCTCTGCCTTCCATGCCGGCGACGCCGAAAATATCATTCCCTCGGAAGCCAACCTAAAGATCGACGTCCGCGCCGCCTTGCCCCAGACCCGCGAACGTGTACTTGCTAGCGTGAAGCGTATCGTCGCTGCCGAGGCCGAAGCATCAAACAATCCAAATGCTCCCACCTTGACACCAACAACGCAGTTCCCTTTGCTCTTCAATGACGCCGACATTACCAATGCACTAGAAGGGTCTTTCTCAGCTCACTTTCAACCTGACAAGCACTCTTATCAGTCTGACATTGCGCGCTTGCAGGGCTCAGAAGATTTTGGTATCTTGGCTACCGCGATCGGTAAGCCGAGTTGCTTTTTCTTGTATGGAGGAACGGATCCAGCGGTTTGGGACAAGGCGGAGAAGGAGGGAAGGCTTAGTGAAGATGTTCCAGGAAACCATAGTCCGTTCTTCGCACCGGTTGTGCAGCCTACGTTGACGGTGGGAATGGAGGGGTATGTTGTTGCTGCATTGACCTTCCTGAAGAAAGGGGAGTGAGTGGGTCGTTAAGGATTTCTTTTGTGCGAGAAGGCAAGTGCCAGAGGCGTTCTAGGTGGTAAGGTATGGTGTAAGGGAACGAGATGCTTGAGGTCCGGCGTAGATCACGAACAGCTATGTTTGTTTCAAGCGTAACAGGTTTAGTCTTGGTATCTAGGTGTATCCATCGGTCATCCTCTCAATCAATCTTATGTCTGGCCCAGTTCTGTCTATTCCATCCACTGACTTCTTTCCCCTGGTCGTAGAAGACCGGAACTTCACCGGTGTTCGAGGTTTCACTTTCGCCTGCTACCTATGTATGCCGACCAAACGTAGAATGAGGTTCTTGAATGAGGTCCGACTATAGGGTCAACGCAAATTCGTCTTAGTTCTCAGGAAGCAACGGCTGGAAAACTCTTTGGGGAGGTGCGCTTACCATGTAGTCCCATGGTTCGGCTCGTTGTGTTGGCGTTATGGGTGTCGGCCTGGAGGCGGTGGCATATGTTCCCGGCAGTGGGATCTGCTCATCGGTAGACATATGCTCTCTCTTATCGACAACGGCGAGTGCGAGATCAGCTATCGGCATGAGCCAGAGTAAACTTTCATGTGTTAGTATGACTCTGCATACGTCATGAACTGCACTCACCATTCAAAAGCCCCCATGACAATCCTTGCAACAAACGTTTTGAAGTGGACTGTAGGATCTAATCTTTCCCAATGCGTGACCAGCAAAACGACCAATCCAGAGTCGGCCAGCCAGAAAAGGCTCATTAACAAGTGTATTGCTAGCGAGATCTTGGTGTTGTGCATTGTTGTAGATACATATAGACGTACGATATAGTAGGTGCACGTTAGGATCGTGAAGGTGGCCTAATAACAAGATTAGCTAGGTATGCAAAACGAGGTTTCATTACGCACAAGTACTATAGAGTACACCATAATTTTATCTACATGAAACCGGATAAGGTCGATATCTATCCCAAGGATGATGATCGCAAGCAGCAGCCGCGCAGTGTGCTCGACTACAAACCTCGTGTGCTTCGGCAACGAAAAACGTTGACGGTATCTTTGCGCTCTATTCATGATGGTTGTCTGGTGAAGGTGATCGGTCGATTAATGAGGTCTTCAATGTAGAAGCATATGAGCAATGGTCGGAGGAATGAGTACAAGAAATAAAAGTGAAGGCGGTAAGTGTAAACATTCTTATACAGAGAGATAGTAAGGTCACTGAAAGTACTGACGGCTGTCTCAGACATCGGAAAATCGTATGCTTGTGTCTGTTTGGCTAAACGATTTTCATTGGTCCTGTCGAAAGACAGTATTGAGACATCCAAGACCTACAGCCTCCTTGAACCACATACGTTGTATCCAATACCTGGCCTAAGCATTTCCCGTCCCAGCCGATGGTTTCCTGTACGAGAGTGCCTCCTCACGATTTTCTTCCAGGTCATGGCCTCCACCTCTAGATTATTTGGCTTCGGCGGATGATAAGTACGCCCCTCATAGGCGGATCATCATCTAGTTGGTCAAAGACCTCATCGATTCTTGAACGATACAACTCGATAAGAGCTTAACATCGGTCGACTTCCTTCTGGATGCGTCGACGTTGACGTTGCAGGCTCGCTAATTTGTTAACAGTATTTCGGGCCTGGAAGGAGAGGACAACAAGACCGATATACAGAAGGAGAATTGACGAGAGAAAGTAAACGAACATAAGAAATGCGACCGAAACGCAGAGCGGATGCTCTTTGATCAGTATCAAGTCGCGCAGCATAGACAGTCTAAATGTAGCGAGGTTTCCTAGATCTGTTCTTGGTGTGGGAGTTAGGAAAAGTCAAGAAGTGTTGAGATAGACGAAGTCTGCAGAAGACATCGATATGGGTATCAGCGTGTAAACATCCACTATCATATATGTTCGGCACTCAGCTTGCTGCAAGGTGAGCACGCGGAATTGTTATCAGCAGTTGTTGCGCATGAGTAGTCACGAAGCAGTTTCTCAAACTCGACAATCTGCTGCTCAAGACGTGTCCCAAACGCAGTAACTGCTTGAGCGTGGGCGCCTTGGTGTTCAACAAAAGATGTCCATTTCCAAATGTTCCATGTGGTATGACAGTAAGGAATGCGAGGAATATGCTATCGTTCGCCCATCTCGTAGAAGTGCCCATCTCCAGCCTCCTTGCGCCACGTGCTAAATAATTAGCGCGTGCATTGATCTTTCCCGAGGTCCACCTCCTTTTGCAGACTGGTGTCTTTCAATCTGTTCCTCCCGACAGCAAAAGCACGCGCTGTACACTAGCAACAAGGCTCTCTGATGATTCTAATCCAATACACTCGTGTCATGAAACCCAAAGTCACAAATATGCAAGTCGTGCCGCGCGGTCGAGCCGCCGCCCCACAGCTTCCGGGGTCGCATTTCGCCTCGCCCAATAGCAACACAGAACGCGCTCTTGACCGTGACAAGCTCAACCACAAGCACGCCTCCCGATACAGACGCGTGCCAATGATTTCCTCGCCTTGAACATATACAAGGTGTGACTGAAAGAGCGAGTTATAGCGTGGCTGCTTGGTACTCCGCATTCGGCAGTCCAGATTTCCATTTTATGTGATGAAGCACACCATGGCTTTCGTAGTGAACCACAAGCCGTGAAGGTGAGTCGGTGGTTTCATCGTTATATGTAGACTGAGATCCGCTTCTCTCTTTCATTGTTGCTCAGTCGGTTGTGTTATCGTCCTCCGAAGTCATTCTTTCCAATTAGTCACTCATTTACGACATGCTTCCTTTCTCGTCTCTCGTTATCACTGCGCTGCTAGGCGCCATAGCTAGCAATGCTGCGCCACTCGTTCAGGAGCGAGGTATGTTGGAGTTGCGGAATGTTCTCAACAATGTCAACTGATAAGTCCCAGGAATCGCAGCAGACCTTCTGGGTAGCTTCAAATTGATGGAGCAGTATGCTTCGGCGGCATACTGCTCAAACAACTATGACTCTACCGGTGATCAGATTGAGTGCTCGACTGGGAACTGCCCGCTTGTGCAAGACGCTGATTCTACTACTGTCATTGAGTATAGTAGGTAAGTTCACAACCCAATCTTGCGCTTAGCAGTCCAGGATGAGACTTACATAACCACGAGCTACAAATATGCTAATGACGACTAGACAGGAGACCTCGACTGATGTTACCGGCTTTGTCGCCGTCGACCACACCAACAAACTTGTAGTGGTTGCCTTCCGCGGTAGTCAAACAATCGATGCCTGGCGCACCAACCTTGACTTCGGCACTACTAAAACGGACATTTGTCCTGGCTGCACTGCGCATAGCGGTTTCTGGCAGTCTTGGACAGATGCGCGCGATACGGTGTTGCCCGCTGTGAAGCAAGCGTCTGCCGCATTTCCTAGCTACAAGATCACCGTAACAGGGCACTCGCTAGGCGGCGCCATCGCTACACTCGCAGCGGCAAGCATGCGCAACGCTGGCTACACTGTGGCGCTGTACAACTTCGGATCACCGAGGATAGGAGGCAGCAAGATCAGCTCTTATATCACGAATCAAGCTGGTGGGAACTATCGGGTCACACATTGGAACGACCCGGTTCCCAAGCTGCCACTGTTAACGATGGGTTATGTTCATATCAGTCCTGAGTACTACATCAATAAGCCCAACAGGCAAGAGGTGTCGGCTGGGGACATCAAGACCTATGATGGCGCTTTGAATTTGAGGGGTAACATGGCCTGGCTTATCATGGACATTGAAGCTCATCGATGGTACTTCGAGAGTGTGTACACTTGCGGTACTAAGAAGTTGAAACGCGGGGTTTTAGAGATGAGAGATGTCGAGGGAGACATGGAGATTGTCACCACGTTTTGAATAGCCTAAAGGTTGCTTGTGCCCTCTTTAATGTGTAACAGAGGGTGTGCTACACTCAATATTCGATTCCTGTCCATCCTCCCCTTCCTACAAAGCCCTCCAGTCCCTCATCACTCTCCACCTCCCGTGCTAGTCTTCCCGTCACGACGCTCCGTTCGTGATCCCGACCACGGACGAGGAATGGCTTGAAGCCTCCTGTCCACGTCCCTCCTTCGTTACCAGATGACTCCAATCGAAAACCACTGTTCTGCCGATCAAGTTGAAGAAACCAATGTCGCTGATGTATTGATCCAATATCGTTCGAGGAGCCAGGGTATGCGTTGGTGACGTGTGTTTGGTCATCCACATTTGTGTCGGTATCTAAGTCCTGATTTTCTGCATCCGCCTGCACAGATGTGTTTGCATCACCTCCCTCGTCATCCGAGGTAGTAGGAATTTGTGCTTCAGCACAAGCTTGAGAAGGCTTCCGACTCTTTCGTTTTATTGCCACTTGTTTGGTCATCTTGCTCGATGTGAGGCGCAATGTGACTGCGTAATCTTTTGGTAGTCGCGTGCCGTGTAGACGTAGGCGGATGTATCCACTTTTAAAAGCTGCTACTAACTTTGAGTTCTCGTAACCCCCTTCGTCTGCATATTTGCGCTCTCTCGCCGTTGCCTCGCTGTCTGAGTCATTATCGGTTTCTTCGTTATCTGTAGTCTGAGGGTTTGGCATGCCATCCTTCCTTTTTTTCCTAGGGAGAATACTATAAGTTCCGGTATCCCATATGAGTAAGCTTCCAGTCTTGTTACCCGCACACTCAATCAACTGGTTCCAATAGTTGTGTACCCTAGTCTCTATCGCCAATCTACCCATGCTCTTCGAATTCGGATCACCAGGCATTCCTTTTGGTAGAGCGAAGGATATAGAACTCGTCTTGGAGAACTGAAGACGCAAGTCATAATGCACACCTGCGACAGGGTGATTGTGTTGATGAACGACAAAGTGGTGGCCATGGGGCTGGAGGTTGGACTGATAGAGAGTGGCAAAATTGTAGATGGAGATTCTTGGAATATGGGGTAGTGTATCCCTAGAGGCTCCTGCTAATTGGCTTCTGAAGAAGGTAAGATGATCGTCAATTCTGACCTTGCCGGCTTTAATTGCTGCCAGCGTAGATACAGTTATTGGTATAGCTGGTGTATCGTCTACAGGTGCAGCTGTCTCCGAGTCTGAAATATTACGCGCAGTCTCTGAAACAAGCGTTCTTCTTCGCTTCGAAGACAGTGGCGGCGATATATCTCGTGTGAGGCTCTGTGGCAAGTCCATTACTACCCTAGTTGATGCATCGTCTATGCTTGCAAGAACATATATGTCTTTTTGATTCTTCTAACCAACGCCACGCCAAGGCTTCGTGATTAGTGATTCTCTTGCTAGCATGGGATTTGGGAGTGAATTGCGCGTCGAGTTTAACGAACGTCGCGTCGAAGCAGTGACGTCATCTATGTGCGACTTCAAATTTCGAACACCACAAGCATCTCATGGGTATTGTCAACAGTCATACGAGGATTTGAAAGAAGCAGAGGTCGGGATGCCAAAAGCGAGAGTTCCGGATCGTGACGAGCAGCATACACGCGTGTGCGAGGTGTGGGGTCCCCGCAGGATCCGATGGCCTGTCATTGGATGTCGGCAGACTTCCTTCCTGCCTGCTCGGCAAACTTGCCCAAATATCGACCACATCGCAACGACGTCCCGCAAACATAGACACGAAGTGGTTAGACGGTACCCATACTCCGCACATAATGAGGATGAACGGAGGATGCAGGGCCCACCGATGGAGGTCTGGTAGCTCTGGAGCGTGGATGGGTGGATGGGTGGATCAGCGGACGGGTTGGCAAAAGAATGAGCATAGCATAAATATCCCTATGTCCTTCTTTTGGTACTGTTCCTTGGTACCGTGTCCTGAGACTCTTCCCACTTTACTTTGCTGTGTATCCGGGTCGCTACAAGCTGCTTTGCCATGTCTTACGATACAGAAGTCCTCATTATAGGCGCGGGCATGAGTGGCCTGGGCCTTGCAGTCCAAATCATTCGAAAGTATGGTCTTCGCAACTTTGAGCTCATCGAGAAAAGTGACGATGTTGGTGGCACCTGGCTGGCAAATACATATCCAGGGTGTGGATGCGATGTAAGTGGTTCTGGGTCCAATCTTGTGTTAGCACCGAGACCTTTGCTGAGCTGAACAGGTTGCCTCGCACTTCTACTCATACAGTTTCGCATTGAACCCGAACTGGTCACGAAAATACTCAATGCGCCCGGAGATCCAAGCCTACTTTCGTTCCGTAGCTGAGAAGTACAGAGTCGTTGAACACGTCCGCTTCCATTCCATTGTCGAGAAAGCAGCCTGGAATGACTTTGACAACGTCTGGGAAGCAACCATCCTAAACTTACAAACCAAAGAGCGAACAACGAGGCGAGCGAAGGTATTAGTCTCAGGTGTCGGCTCACTATCAGTTCCAAAGACGTGCGATCTACCCGGAGTAGACACGTATGAGGGCAAGTTGTTTCATTCTGCCCAGTGGGACCACAGCTTCGACTGGAATGACAAAGATGTTGTTGTACTTGGTACGTCTGAATACGTAGTGCTGGCAAATCATCAAATATCATGCTTACGAAATCTTAGGCAACGGCTGCTCAGCGACTCAATTTGTTCCTATCATGGCTAATGAACCCAATCCTGTGCGTAAACTTGTACAGTTCGGACGACAGGCACAGTACCTCGCAGAACGTCAGAACCCACATTATTCGGAGACATTCAAAGCCGTGATGCGCTACGTACCATTCGCAATGCGCCTCTATCGCGCAAAGTTCTACTATGACATGGAGCGCGACTGGAGTGGGTTTGATATCGAGACTGGTCGTAGTATACGACAAAATCTGGCGAAAGAGAATGAGGCATATGTCAAGAGCATGGCGCCGCCAAAGTACTGGAATGCGCTCATTCCAAAGACCGAGATTGGGTGCAAACGGAAAGTGCTGGATACAGACTATCTGAAGACATTATGGAGGGACAATATCGAGCTCGTCTCTGACGATCCGGTCGAGAGAATTACCGGCAACGGTGTGGTGACAAAGAGCGGTCGCGAAGTGAAGGCCGATGCAATTGTGCTTGCGACCGGATTTGCAACACAGCAGATGCTATGTCCGATGGAGATTGTGGGGCGTGACGGACTTAGCCTGAACAGATATGTGAGTCGAGTCGTTGTAATCGCCAAAAATCCAGATACTGATGCATATTGTAGTGGGACAAGACTTCACAAGGTGTTGCGCAAGCGTATTTTGGAACTGTGGTCCCCGAGTTTCCAAACTTCTTCATCCTCATGGGGCCAAACACTGTCACTGGCCATCTGAGTGTCATCTACACCGTCGAATGCCAGATCAACTTCACCCTCCGACTTCTCGAGCCTATCTTCAAATCACTCCCATCATATCGATCGCGGTCATTCATTCCCCAGATGCTGGCGCCACCGCCAGCGACTGTGGAAGTCAAGTACGACGCCGCAATTGCAGATTCGCACTGGACACAACAGGCAGCCAGGAAGCTAGTTTGGGCTTCTGGCTGCGTCAACTGGGCTGTCGATCCCAAGACAGGCCTGAATAACAGTAAGTAGTCAAAGAAGCTTTGACCTGGGTCTGCGTGCTAACCAGATCAGTGATGTACCCCGATTGGCAATTCCTATATTGGTTCAGGAGCATATTTTGGAAGAAGAACGACTTTGTTTATCGAAACGAAAAGACTGGCGAAGAGTTCCGACCGGGCACAGGCAAGAAAATCTTTTGGCTAGCCACTGCAGGAGCACTTGCGACAAGCGCCTTCTTAGGACGAGACTGGATCCAAGACGAATTGCCTCGGAGACTAAGAAACTTCGATACTAGGTCACTGGTTCAGAGGTTGACTACCTGAACTGTCGTGCATGAATGTGGTAGTGAGTCGCTGCATGACTGGGTGGGATGACAGTGCGACCATCCTCATAACCCACACCTCCAGGCAGCAACGTCGTCCGAAAGAGGCAGCGAAGAGCTAGAATACCCACAGGATGGAACAGGTGGTATTATATCTTACCTTCGAAGCGATTTTCGTGGTTTATATCTCGCTACAAAGTCTTTCGCCGCCAGTAGTGACGTTATACGTGAGTTGTGATCCCTCCAGCAACGGAGTGACCACCACACCTAGATATCTGCGTTCGCAGCTCCCAAGCGCCCGTCTAATTGGTACAATCAAGTCACTTTTATTGTTAAATCTCTGCAAGAACAATAGCAGCAATAGCAGGGAACACTGGTTGTTCACCATCCGGGCATCCCTTTCACCTTCACTTAACCAAGTCGTTTCCAGCCTCCTCAATTCCGAATTTTCAAATCAACAAACCTTTCGCCGATACTTATCCCACACCCATATATTAACGAGAAGCTACCGTCTTCTTTACACTATCCTCACATTTGTACCCATCCCGAGCAAGTCTTGTCTTGACCGTCTCACATCTTCCACCTCACAAGGTACAACACAACAGATCTCTCGAGATGTCTGCAAAGACTCTCCTTCCAACCTTCGCAGTAGCGGTCAGTCACATGGCCGTTCAGGCCGCAGCCACAGCCTATCCGGCTGACTATATCGTCGAGCACATCCTCAAGCTCAGTAACTATGTCGTCAATCTCGCTGGCAGCAGCATTCTCTTTGGCAAACCCGAACTCGATCTATACAGCCCCAGCCTGAACATTTTGTTTGACCGCCTGCAAAAGAAACAGCTCGGTCCCAGCCTACTACCTCCTGGATTTCTCACTGCCGAGCGCATTCACGCACGAATCTACTTGCGTTCCGACCAAGAGGCTACCGGCCGCCCACTTGCCGACTACGAGGACCTTTACTACGCGCTCGTCGCACGCATGCAAGAGATGCGTCAATTGCTGAACCTTCGTATCAACAGTGGCTTCAACATTGCGACTCAATTGGTTTGCGAGGGCGGCCCGAGCATCGCTGAGTTCCACAACAGTCTCTCCGAGTATTGGGATGTTCTCAACAATCCGTCATGTGGTAAAGCGCTCGATGATGCGATACGCGAGGCAAGGGTTCAGGCGCTCCGCGATGAACTAGCCTGGCAAGTCGAGAGCGACAACATGTCAGTAGAAGATGCGCTCGAGCAGTTGAAGCAACTCAACAGCATAGATGTCTACAGTGGCATCTCAGGACTCAATTTTGTTCAGGACTGGGCGCCGACCATGGTCGGTGCTTACTTGGAACAGAAGTATCGACACATACTCAATCTGGAGAAGGAAGAGGCAACTATTAAGGCGAGGCAAGAGCGCCGTCAAGCCAAGGTGAAGAGTACGCGCGAAGCTCCTCCCGGTGCACCAGCAACGCAGAAGGTTTCTGACCGCCGTCGCGCCCGCGCTGCACGCAAGGCGGCTCATGGCGCCAACACCAAAGTCCTCATTGAGGCTGATCACCAGTATCTACCCAAAGAACAAGCAGCGATACATTACTCTCCCGAGTGTCTAGCGGAGCTCCATCCCGGTCGCCATTACGAAGAGCATAGCGCGGCCATATGCGAACAAAACATTGCGAATGCAGACGATATGCTCATGCTCCTTGAGTGGCAGATGAAGACGCAGCGTGTATCAGAGTACAGCGGCTACCTCCGCGCTCGTGCTAGCCAGGAGTCGCAGCGTGCGGTTCAAAGTACTCAGGGCTCGGTCACAGACAGCTTTGTTAGTTCTTTCTCCTCTACCCTGCCACTCGGTGGTAGTGGTGGTGTGTTTCATCACTCCGACATGGATTATAGTCAGTACATGCAGTTCTAATGGTAGACGACAACCTTCAATTGGTGGAACGAAGGAATTAGGGCCGGGATACGATTGGAGATGCCAATGACGTATGATCGTTGAATGAGTGCATAGGCGGATAGATCAGGCAGAAACTGTATATCCTAGTGCCCTTTTTAGATAGCTCTTTGCACACATGATCAGTAAGTGGACTTATTGATCTTCGACAACAACGTCGTTGCGATCCGTTGCTTGATCAAGTGCAGAATATAGATACTTTGCTTCAAAAGAACTGCTTTAGTTTTCATGTGCTACTGCATGTAATCCGGATCCACTTCTAGGATCATATTTGCGCCGTAACCACCTGGTCTCGGTGCTACAAAACTGGGTATATGCCACAAGTTCCTGTTACACTGCTCGAAATCGCCAGGCTCCTGTTCTTGGCAATCGTAGAGACTCAGAGACTACTTCAATGTCAGCGTGCATACACACATGGCTCGCCAGGTCCTCAC